AAGATTGAAAGGAGATAGGCATAAGGTCCAGAGCCCTATTAAGCTCTGACCAACTAGTGACCTTGTCAGGATATGGTCAGGCCTTATAAAGACATTGTCAGGCCTCATAAGGTATGGTCAGGCCTGGGGCTAAGAGCTTAGGGCAGATGGGGGAACCAGGACATTCTTCCTCCAGTGGCACCAAGGATATCATTGCTGTTGTCAGATGGATCTTGGCTGAAAGCAAATAGCACAAGAATTTCTATTTGTGCTTTATGGACTACACAAAGGGATTTAACTGTGTGGATACTAACAAATTATGGCCAACATTGAGAAGAATGGGAAATCTAGAACACTTAATTGTGCTCATGCAAAACCTATACCTAGACAAAGGGGACAAAGGGGCTATTGTGCGAACAGAGCAAGGGAATGCTACATGGTTTTAAATTAATTAAGGTGTGCATGTTTTAGGGTTTATCATTTTTTCATACTTATTAAATCTGTATTCTGAGCAAATTATTTGAGAAGCTGGGCTCTATGAAGAAGGATGTGGGATTCAGATCAGTGGAAGATTCCTCAACAGCATATTATGAAGATGACACAATTTCATGTGCTGAAAGTCAGGAGGACTTGAAGTGCTTGCTTCAGATCAAAGGCTATAGCATTCAACGTGAATTATATTTCATTATCAAGTAATTATCACCACCAGACTGACAGGCAATACCATGATGGATGGAGGAAAGACTGAAATCATCAACAATTTCATCTTACTTAAATCCACAATCAACATCCTTGGTACCAGCAGTCATCAGGAGGGGTATTGCACTAGGAAAGTCTGCAGTTCAGAGCTTCACCAAATTATTGAGTAATGATAACAGATTGAGGACGAAGGTATGTCTGATTTAGGACATGCTCTTTTCAATCACTTGCTATGCATCTGAGAGCTGGACAATGAATAAGGATGGATGAAGAAGAATTGATGACTTTGAGCTGTGGTGTTGGAGAAGAGTACTGAATATCCCATGAGCTGTCAAAAGAACAAAGGTATATGCCATTGAGAAGGTACAGCCAGAACATTCCTTGGATGCAAAGATGACGAAGCTTCATGTCACACTCTTTGGGCATATTGCTAGCAGAGTTAATTCCTTGGAGAAGAACATCATGTTTACAAAGATGGAGGGTTGGTGAAAGAGAAGACGACTCTGAACCAGATGAATTGACATAGCGACTGCAGCAATGGGTTCAAGTATGTCAGGAATGATGAGGATGGCACCTACAGGACAGGATTCAGATCTGTTATTCACTGAGTTGCTATGCGTTGTACTTGGCTGGATGACACCAAAGAACAACAATGACCTAGATTATTGTCTCTTTCCATATTGGCGAACGAAAACATAATTTTTAAAAGAATTTAAATTTTTTTATATAAATAATGTCAAGTGTCCTTTATTCATGTAGCAACAGTGTGCAATTACCATGGAGATGCAGAGGAGAATTGCTCCATTCAATTTCCAAGGCTATGTCCTTGTGGAAAGAAATTGCTTTGCCTCTGCTAGAGTATCTACAAAAACCTTTGACCTTCCTACATATGCACTAGTATATTATCTCTGTTTGAAAGAGTAAATATTTTTTCACCATATATGTTGTATGATTAAAATTGGTTATGTGTGCCATTGAGTTGGAACCAACTCATAGCTGACCCTCCAGTGGCTTTTCAGAGGAAGTCAATTGCACAGGAGGAGACTGCCCATTCTTCACTTGTGGAGCAACTGGTGGATTTGTAGATCGAGATATATATATATTTCTAATTTTTTATTTAGTTAAGAGCACTGGGACCAATGATCACCAGCTGCCTAGTAAACAAAAATTATGCTTTGGAAAGATTATATATATATATATACACACACACACAAACATATATATACACACACATATATACATACATACATATAGATATATTTGAATATATGTATTCAAGCATGTGATGAGAGAGATATATACTTTTTGTACTTATATATTCAAGCATATAATCTATTTAAATACCTTTAATTATTTAAATATTTCTTTAAATACAGACTAGAAAATTTTAGGACTGTAATTTTTGCTCTTTACAAAATGTTTTATTGTGATTTGAATGTAAGTTTACAGTTAAGATTGATATTCCTTTCAACCGCTTGTGCCTAATTTTAGAATGTCATTATTATTTCTCTAACTATTTCTCTGTGATTCTTGTTTCCCTTTATTGTCCCATCCTTTTTCTTCTACCTTCTGAATTATTTATCTCTGGGGCAAATGCTTCCACTGTTACCTCATGTGATTGAGAGTTCTAAGAGCTAATGACTTCTTTGGTGTTATTATTGACCTTCTGTGCCTGTCAACTGATGGGTTGTCAGCTGGGATACAGGAACAAACTCAATTCCAGGCTCAACTTATTTTAAGGCCCATAGTTTTAGAGGATCTACCAGTTTCCAACAGGGCAGTAAGCTTCACCATCATAGGGATTTGAGTTTTTTCTACAATTATATGCCACTCTATCCAGGACACTCTGTTGTGGTCCCTTTCAGAATAGTTAGTAGCAGTAGCCTGTTCCCATCTAACTCTTCTAGTTTCAGCGTTAAGGAAATTGGAAATCTCAAGGTATATTTGTCTAATGGATTAATTCTTTCCATACGTAAAGAATCTGGGAGTTGTGGTGGCCTGGTGGTAAGGAGTTGAGCTGCCAACCCAATCCAACAGCAGCTCCTCAAGTGACAGATGACCAATCTCCTCCTGTGCAAATTGCTGTTGGAACGTTAGCTGTCAATGGTACATAACAATAACAACAAAGAAATTGAGGTACCAGAAGGCAGGTTATTTGCCAAAAGTCACTCAGGTTTTAAATGCCAGACTAGGATTAACCTCTGATAGATTCAAAGCTCCAGCTCTTAATGGTGTTAAATGAGCTGATGAGGGAGGATGAATGGGGACTCTTCTGTGTACCTGAGGTGGCTTTTTCTTCCTCTCAGTCTGCAATATCTAAAGATCATCAATACTCAGAAGTAATTTTTGCCCAAATTTGCCCTCATAAAATCATTATTCGTTTTAGCTTCATCCTTTCCATGTCTCCTGTTACATAGAATTAGTATCTTTCCTTTGGCATACACACTTCCTAACAAATATGGCAGTTGTTTATGGCTATGGTTGTACTTCCAATTCTTACCCTAATTCTGTACATCAATACCTCATTCTCAGCCTCTGCTTAAAGCAGCAGTGATTGCTTGAGTCCCACGACTTCAGAGTCCAGTGTCAGAGGACAGGTTTAAAGGTCCTGATGCCAGGCTCCGGCTCTGATAATGCCTGCTTTTGTGGCTGATAATTAACTCAGCGCTTATATAAAGAAGGGACCAGTGTGGGGAGGCAGATGTACTGCCTGCAGCCATGGCCAGCACGTTAAGTCCCAGCACCACAGCGGTGACTCCAGAGCAGCCTGCGATGTCAGAGCGCATCAGGAATGCTGCTGACATCTCTGTCATTGTCATCTATTTTGTGGCGGTGATGGCAGTTGGGTTGTGGGTACGTGGAAGCTCAGTGTGATTCAGGGTGGGCATGAGACATGAGGTGAAGCTATCTTATACAGGGGACTAGGGTGGAGTTAAAACATGCGTTCTCAGTAATTTCTCCAACTTTCTATCAAAAGCATTGTGTATGTGTGATAGAAATAAAGACAACATTTAAGTTTGAAGTTATTCTCTTCAAGAAATCACACTATTATCAAGAAAGAAGAGACTTTTGTTTGTGGTCTCTATTGACTAGTATGAGTGTATAAGGACTTTATTCCTATCAACTCGTTCACTTTTTTTTTTTTTTTTTTTGTCTGCTCACATTCTAGTTTGTTGACCTGGGTGCTGAGTCAATTTACTCTCATCCTTTCTTTTTAATAATGAGATTGAAACTGCAAAGGTTCTTGCTTGTTTTTTTCTTTTGGGGGTTTTTCACTTTTTTTTTTTTTTGTCTGCTCACATTCTAGTTTGTTGACCTGGGTGCTGAGTCAATTTACTCTCATCCTTTCTTTTTAATAATGAGATTGAAACTGCAAAGGTTCTTGCAAATTGAGTGTTAATGATTCCTCACTCTGAGTTTTACAACAGTTGTTGAGAAATGTCATCTCTCAAATTCCTTCCCAGTCTGGATTTTTGTTGACACTATACCAACAGGGCTGAACATGGCAGAGATTGTGAGATGACACAGGATAGATAGAGGTTCTGAACTGTTGTTCATAGGGTCTCTATGAGTTACAAGTAACTCGATGATGCCTAACAACAACAAAAACAACAGTGACATGGTTTTGTAAAGTCCTTAAAAGGATTTGAGTGACACAACTTTCAGGAAGTCTTCTTCTCCTTAGACATGCTGAAGAAGTAGCCCCGGCTTCCTTTCTGGGGTATCTGGCATGTGTCTGGGTTGACCCTCATCTGTCTTCGCTTCTGTTCAGGCCATGGTGAGGTCCAACCGGAGCACTGTTGGAGGCTTCTTCTTGGCTGGTCGAGAAATATCCTGGTGGCCGGTAAGTGGGTCAGTATTTCTGCAAATTAAATATGGTGGCTTAGTTCATATGATATTGTGTTGGTTACTCAGATACTATGCTCTCTGGAGGTTTGACTCCAACAACAGCTCCTGTAAAAATAAGCAATCTCCCCTTGGGTGATTTACAGCCTCAAAAACCCAATGGCAGGTCAGCTATGAGTCCAGACCCAATGGTAATAATAGGGGAAGGGGGGCAGAGGAAGAAAGAGAGAGAAAGTGTGCGAAAGAGAATGTATATAAAGGACATAGGGTAATAATGATGCTTATGAAATACATTAATATATACATTAGTTGTCTGTTCTTTTTCTGTCATTTCTTTCCTAAATTCTGACATCAACTTTTATAAGTGCAAGTTTCTGACATTTAAAGACACTCATTCTTATTTCCAAAGGAGCCTTGGTAGCGTAATATATTCAGTGTTGGGTTAATCTACTGAGTAGCAGTTCGGATCCACTAGCCACTCCATAGGATCAAAATGAGACAGTCTCCTACCATGAAGATGTACAACCTTGGAAGACTATTGAGTCCGAATCAACCAGATGCAATACATTTGGCTTGTTTGGTTTTGATTATTTTTATCTTATTTGTGACCTCCTTTTCCTTTAATTGTTCGAAGTTTAGATCTGGTGATGTCATCAACAGCAACAGCAACAAATTAGAGGCCAAATAAACAAGTAATAGACACACAGCCATAGTTTGCTACCTGACTGATGACCTCTGGCAACAGGAAGATACAGTGATGGAAGCATATCAAGAGATGCTTGTTTTCAAGAATTCTGCTTTGAGTCTTTCCTTTCTGATCCTAGTCTTTTCTCTTGGATTCCAGATGGGTGCTTCCCTTTTTGCCAGTAACATCGGCAGCAACCAGTTTGTGGGGATGGCGGGGACTGGCGCAGCCTCAGGCATTGCTATTGCAGCATTGGAATGGAATGTAAGTCACATCATGGGTTTTTATTTTCAATGAAGTATAACCTTTTTCTTTGATGGGGTCTATATGTTGTTAAATGCCTTTGAGTCAAGAACGACTCATAGTGATACTATGAACAAAAGAGCTGAACCATGTTCTATAACTATCATCATTTCTCTAATGTTCATAGAGCTTTCAGAGGTATAGGATACATTATTTTTTGGCTTGATTTATCTTTTTACCTCCTCCTAATCTTTACTTCTTCCTCTACCCACTCTTTTCTTTTCTCCCCCTTCCCTTCCCTTCCCTTCCCTTCCCTTCCCTTCCCTTCCCTTCCCTTCCCTTCCCTTCCTCTTTTTTTCTTCCCATCAAGACCTAATATGGCCTCATTCTGCCTGGTCATTCAGGCCAGATAAGTTCCTTCTTCTGAGTTTTTACTCCAATAGTTACTCACACCATATATGTAATTTCTGTCTGAGTTAAGTTCCGTTTCACTTGCACTCCATGATTGCTTTAGTTCACAATTCTTTTTCTCATTTATGAGCTATTACTGTTTGTGTCCAGATCTGAACAAGATGTAAGGAACAAGTATCTTTATCTCTATTATCTATCTATCTATCTATCTATCTATCTATCTATCTATCTATCTATCTATCTCTATAATCTATCTATCTATATTCTATCTATGATATAGATATAAAGATATGGTAACATCCCATGCACGGCCAAGAGAACGAACAGATATGTCTTGGAGAAGGTGCAGCTGGAGCAACTCTTTGGAGGCAAGAATAATGAGATTTTTGCCTCAACACTTTAGAAATGTTGTTAGGAGATATTCCTCGGCGAAGGACATGATGTTGGGAAGGATGGAGAGTTGGCGAAGGAGAGAAAGACCCTTAAGCAGGTAGATGGACATGGTGACTGCTGCAATGGGCTCTTCTTATGTGTCAGGGGGTGTGAGGATGGTGCAGGACAGAGCAGGGTTCAGATCTTTTATTCACAGGGTCGCTATGAGTTGTGCTCGACTCGACGGCACCTGATAACAACTACATGCTCCCTTCTTTTGAGGAGCTTATATTTCAGTGGGAGATACATACTTACATTCAGTACAGGGTAGTGAGTGCACTGAACAGAAGCAACATCCTCTGTGTAGGTAGTATACTTCCCAGGTAGGGGCCAGAGATGGGGTTTGACTTACTTAGTCATTGTAGAGTGAGAACTGAATTATTTGAAATATTATAGGTAGAATCTGCTTTGTGATTGAATTCCTAAATGTCTGATTACCATTTTATCAGTAAACACTTTATCTACTAGGGGTCATGCAAGTAATTGCAAAGACTATGGCTTGGATGAGATGCATCTTGGTTCTATACTGACATCATTGCTTCGCGGTACTCTGAAGAAGTCTCTGACGATTTTCCTAGTGCTATTTGTCTTTTGATTGCCTGAGTGCTGGTGCCAAGAGTGTTGACAATCTGCTGTCTAGAGACTAAGGTGCACCTAGTTCAGGCCATAATTTTCACAACTAATTGGTCTGCATCAGAGAGCCTGACAAGGACTAAGGATGACAGAAGAAGAATCGATGCCTTTGAGTTGTGGTTCTCGAGAAGAGTCTTGACCATACCATGGACTGCAAAGCAAACAAATAGGTCTATCTTGGAGAGGGTGAAACCAACTTTCTCCTTGGAGGCTAGGAGTTCGAAGCTCTCACAGACTTTGGGCACATGGCCAGGAGTGACTGGTCCTTAGAGAAGGGCATTATATTTGGAAACGTGGAGGGACAGTAGAGGAGAGAAAGGAGAGTGAGATCCCGAATGAGATGTTTTGATACAATAACTGGGGCAATGTGGGTTGTTGTGTCGGAATCAGTGAGACTGGCTCAGGACAGGGCAGGCTTCAGAGCTGCTGTATGCAGACAACTTAACAGCAAATAACAATAACAACAATGGTCCACAAGTAAAGCTTTTAAAATTGTTTCCCTCTTTCTTTCTGTAGGCCTTAGTGATGTTGCTGATTCTGGGGTGGATTTTTGTCCCCACATTCATCAAGGCAGGGGTAAGTGTCTCCAATTGGGCATTTTGTGCCCATCTTTCTGGTGTATTGCACCCATTCTACTCAGTAACAATGCTTAGGAACCTGGCATTTATTCGGTCTATTTCTAGAAATATACAGACAACCAAGACCCAGTTCCTTTCCCTTGAGAGACTCCTAGTGTGTGCTGTGGCTGCAGCACAGGACAAATCTGTGATGGCTGTGAACCGTGACGGTACTAGAGTTCAACCCAGCCTGGTTCAGGAAGACTAAACATGGACCAGAGACCTGGGCTTCAAGAAATGAGCCTCAGCGATTACCTGAGTCTAGTCTTGAGGAGTAAGTGATCCTTCTAGAACTAGATAAGTGAGTGTATGGAAGATTGCAGGAAACAATCTGAAAAGACAGAAAACAATGAGAGGATTTGGATTCTGGGAGGTCAAGTGGAATTAAGCTCCATGAGAGTATATGTGCGTAGAGTAGAGCAGGTCCACAGATGTAGGTAAATCCGATGCTGTAAAGTCTTATGTACATATGACTGAGATTGAAAAATGTACCTTGTATCCTTTTGGGAACCAGCAGTTAGTGTGTACTTTAAGGCAGCCAAACGTCATGGTCAGATTCCTGTTTAGGTAGTTACACTCATGAGAATGGATTTGAGGGGAGATCCACTGAAGAGTAAAGTCATCAGGAAGTATAAATGATACCTTTGGAGGCTCTAATAAGAAAACCATGGAGGAAGAGGATAGTTTTGGGGGTACAGATAATGGTTTGGTGACAGATTTGGGGGTATATAGTGAAGAGAGGAAGCTTCCAGAGGAATCTTAAATCTTAAACTCAAGGACCTGTGTGCATGTTATTTTTGTTGTTAAGTGCCATCGAGTTGAACATGACTCATAGCGACCCTATGAACAAAAGATCTGAACTTTGTTCTGTAACTATCATTGCTTCTCTAAGTTCATAGTTTCTGGAGGCATGCTGTTTAGGAAGTGGGAGGTACTGTTAATGGAGAAAGTAGATCTTAGAGAAGATCAGATGATACACGACACAGATAAAAATGGGTTCATTTGAAGCTGAGTGAGGTCTTGGTGTCTTGAGGGCGCAGACATGTGCATAGCCACCAGCAGTGTATAACTGAGAATTTCAAGTCAGTTAAGAAAGAGATCTGAGTATAATTACCCATATAAACCTTGTTTGGATTCTCAAGTGCGTCTGTGAACCAGAGGCTGTCCCTTCCTCATCAAAAAAAGAGAGAAATAAATTGGGTGTCACATATGGAAAGGCTGTGCCAGGAGATCTTAGGGAGCTATGGAAGGTTTCCTAATGCAGCCTAGACACTGAAGAAATGGTAAAGGGCCATCTCAGGGGAGGTGTGAGGTCAAACAGCGGAAGACAAGTTTAAAAAAAAACAAACAACTCCAACAAAAACAACCCCCAGATGCTGAAGCAGGTATTGTGACATCCAATTTGTCTGAAGCCTGGAGACCAGGGTAAGTACACAGATGCTGATAATGGAGGCCAGGTGGAGGGATAGGAGCTTGAAGGAGCAGTCAATGTCAGCCTGACCCTACTTTCTGGGCTTTGCTGCTCTCCCAAGGGGTAATTCCTTCTCTCTTTTGTACTCTCAAGGCGCCAAGCACAGCATGTGGCCACTCTGCAGGGCTTAGTGAATGTAGAAGGATCCAAAAGTGCTGGGCTCTGTCCTGAATCCCTGTTGTTTGTCTCTGCAGGTGATGACCAGTCCAGAATATCTAAAGAAGCGCTTTGGCGGGAAGAGACTCAATATTTACTTCTCTGTCCTGTCCCTCTTCATCTGTGTGGCTTTGTCAATCTCAGTGAGTTCTGAGTCTCCTATAAATTCTTTTTATATTGGTTTGCTTGCAAAGTTTGTATACACTGTGTTTCACACTATTCTTCTTTCACTCTGTGTTTCATACAATCATTCTCATGCATTATGTTTTACAAAATTAATCACCATTGGACCCTGCCCATCATTACCCTTTCACCCAGATTCCTCCTATTTCCTTCCTCCTCTCCTTCCACCCACCAAAATATGAATCCTTATTGTTTAACCCCTACCCATCATCACCCCTCCAGTACCACCCCTTAGCCATTGAACTCCTATCCATGTTTTACTAATTATCCTTCTATTTTTTAATAACGATCTTACGCAGTATTTGCTCTTATGAAACATAGTTAGTTCTCAGCATGATGCCCTCCAGTCCCTCCCAAGTTATGCAATATTTTTCAAAATCATTCCTCTTGAGTGCTGCACAATATTCCACTGTGTGAAAATGCCAAATTTCTCAGTCCATTCGGTTGTGCTTGGTCATTTGGGCTGTTTCCATGTTCTTGTTATGGTGAATAATGCTGCTATGAACATTGGTATACGAATCTCCGTTTGTGTCTCAGTTCTAATTTCCTTGTGGTATATTCCTCCTAGTGGAATAGCTGGGTCATACGGAGTTTCTATGTTCATCTTTCTAAGGAAACTCCAGACTCTCTTCCACAGTGGTTATGCCATTTCACAATCCCACCAAAAGTGAATGAGAGTTCCCACCTCTCCACATCCTCTTCGACATTTATTGCTTGCTGCCCTGCTATACTTTGTTTGCTCTTATTAATTTGATTTTGAATGAGTGTCTGGAGGCAGAAGGCTAAGATCAGAAAGCCAGAGGAGTAGACAGTACAACTTGAGCTATTTGGATTTTTTAACAAACTGAATCTCTCTAGCAAGTTACTGTGGATAATAGAAACTTTGTTGATAGACTCTCTATCAAGTTACTGTGGATAATAGAAACTTTGTTAATAGACTAACATACTTTAAAAAAAATGGTTGCATTCAATCATTCAAATATATTCTATCTCAAGGATAAGTCCGTCCTCTCTTTAAGGATATGACAATAAAAAAATGATGCATACAAAAATCAAACTATCTTGTTCAAGCAGCACAATTAACTGTCTTGTTCAAGCAGCAGTAAAGAGGAGGACCTCTTTGGTCTCTGCCACTCTACATCTTTGCATTCTTTTTAGAAACAGTATGGATTTGTGATAGTTTTTTCTAGCTAGACTGCAAACACATAAATCCAAAGAAAATGGCTTGGCATTATTTTACACTAAGTTTTCTAAGACTGACTCTATTTCATGTAATATTGCCTTGTGAATTAGTGTTTAAATAACCAGAACACAATAAAAAAGAGTATATTTCTTGGAGATATCCAGCAAGGAAAGAAAAGAATTGTAAATGGTGCTATTTTCCTTTGCAAAGTTCTTTTATTCAAACTTGTAGAAGATAAAGAAAGAATAAATAATGTACTGTTCATCCATCAGTGACCAGTAAGTTAACCTGGACGTTTACAGTTCAGGCAGGTGTTTCAATGTTCACGAGAGAAGCTGGTCATCATCAGTGGTCTTCTTCGAGCTCATTTCTGTTAAAAATAAGCCAGCGTTTTAGATTAGATGACATGAGCTTTCCAGTTGCAGCTTGAGCATTTTTTTAATCACTTACTGTTTGCTATTAAGCCCCTTGTTATTGATAAGAAATATTTGTGTGAGAGCTTACTAGAATAATACACAAGAAATAATTAACACTTTATGACTGTGTATACTGAAGTGCTATATGTTTTCTAATTTTCACATTCTGTTGGATCATCTTTCTTGGAAATGAGAACAAATATGTATCCCTTCCAGCTTACTTGGCCAGGTAGCTGTCGACCAAATTTCCTGGCACAGACTGGTAAGCATGTCTAGGGCTGCATCTGTTATTGGAACATGCCAGTTGGTGTCCCGTTAATTTCTAGGGTTTTATTTTTTGCCAATGTCTACAGTGCAGCTTCAACTTCTTCCTTCATCACCATTGGCTATTTGTCATATGCTTCTTCCATGTTGACCAATTCTTTTTTATGTAGTGACTTGATGTATTCCCTCCACCTCCTTTTGCTGCTTCCTGGATCATTCAAGGTTTCCCCAATACCATTTCTCAATATTGCAACTTGAGGTTTGAATTTATTTTTCAGTTGTTTCAGTTTGAGAAATGCCAAACGAGTTTTCCTTTTTTTAAAATTTTTATTCTCAATTCCAACTTTAAACTTTCCAGTTTAAAATCTCAACATTCCCCGCTTAACTATCTGGGTGGCCTCAAGCAAATAAATTACCCTCTCTAAGACTTACTTCTGGACCCAATTTGAATTTATTGTAGTTCCTTATCAATTTTATTGCACGTGCCATTAATGATATTGAAAAAGGCATTATAGTGGAAAGGGGAGGAGAGTCAGGGAAAGAGAAGCTGATCCTCAACAAGATGGGTTGACACAGTGACTGTACCAATGAGCTCGGTGACTGTGTCGGAGATCATGATAGACAAGGCTCAGATCTATTTTCAGAGTCACTGTGAGCTGTTGCCCACTTGACAGCACATATTACCAACAAGCCTTATTTCACTCAGATATAAAGTGACTAAAATACAACAAAAAATATCTTATGAGTAGTTTTGAGTAGTGAATTGGGGTAGAATAAATTCCTTCAACATTTTGAGGAAAAGACAACTCTCTAACAGTTTATATTTCATCAGACCAAATGATCACTGGAACCATGCTCTGAAACAGTCACAGTTTCATATATAATTGTACCCAATGTAAACACATGTGATTGTGAAAATCCTCACTGGCAAACAAGTATATTGATTTTAAAAATATGTGAAAAAGACACTTTGTCACAGTCAAGAGTGTTCCTATAAATATGCAAAGTTCTTGCCACCAAGAAAGTGTGGGACATGCCACCTCGTGTCTTAAGTGTCTTAATTAAGCAGTGAAATATGTGCTGTGAGGACTTGGACTGGGGAGGGTAAAGGTCACAGTTTGAGATTCTATATAAATTGTCACTATGAATAGAAGTCAGATATGAAGTGAAGAGTGTGGACATTGACCGGAGAAAGAAGAGCTGTAACTCACTTACATATTGCTTTTCCGTCCCAACTCTTTCTTTTCAGGCTAACATATTCTCTGGAGCCATATTCATCAACTTAGCCTTGGGATTGAACCTTTACCTGGCAGTCTTTATCCTTTTAGCTATCACAGCTGTTTACACAATCACTGGTGAGTCCCCTGTATGCTTCTCTTCATGCTGCATTTTGCTTACCTCACTTATCTCACTTTAACTTTCATTAGCAACATTAGTATTAGCATTGTTGCCACCAAAGTATATACATTATTCTATTGCCACCATTGGAGTCAAATACAGACCCAGAAACAAGAGTAGAACCAAGAAAAGAGAACCTTCAACATAATATATGAACTTTTTAATTAAAGATAGTAATGTGAGGAAAAGGATGGGAAATTCATGATCTGCTTTAAGTTGTGTGATCACATCAGTTTGGGATCCAGTACATGCCAGGATTAGAGAATGTAAAGTGGAACACTGGCATAGTGGTGGGCTATGAATAACATAGTCAGAGAGAAGAAATGGGGTAGTGGGGAGAAGATGTGTAACAATAATTTCAGCTGTTTGTTAAAACAAGGGACATCGAAGTAGTATTGAGCATATATTGTTGTCATTGTTGTTGATTGCTTTCGAGTTGAGCACAACTCATAGCGACCCTATGAACAAAAGGCCTGAAGCCCCTCTACAACTAGCAGCAATTATCAAAGTTCATATTGGTTTCTGGGGGCGTGTTATTTAGGAATCAGATGCCACTCCTGCTTCCAAGAACATATATTAAATAATGAAAATTAAATCCATTTGCTCCATAAGAGAAACTTGAAAGAAAAGATTGCATAATTAAAAGATGGAGGTATGTGTCTCAGGTTTTCAGGATGTTTTGCTTTTCATGAAAGAAGTGTCTCTGTGACTGTAGATAATTTGTATGAACAGAGTTTAAAGTGAAGAACTTGGGATTTTGTGGATTTTTTGTGACACAACATTGTGATAAAAGAAAATACGCTGCTATATCTAATAATAAGAAGCCCTGTTGGCTTAGTGGTGAGGAGTTCCACTGTGAACCCCAAATTAGACAGTTTGAGTCCACCAGCTGCTCTGAGAGAGAAAGATGAGCAATCTCTTCTGTTGTGATTTGCAACTTCTGAACACTCACTGGAGGATTATCAATGAGTTGATTCTGAGCCAATGGCATGTAGCAACATCAACCTAATATTAAACTGAAGAAACAATGTACTGAAATGACCCAAGATTACAGCCTATTTAGATACCTTACTTTCCCCTAAAACAAGAAACCATTGTAATTTAAACAGATGACATCTAAGAACACTGAGCAGCAAACAGAAGGACACAGAATTAGTTTAAGCATCTTATAAAAGAGACACTGAGTCTATGAGCAATTTTACAGATTGTAGATATTCTGCCACCCATGCCAGTGCACTGTGGCCATCTTGAGACAAAGTGAGTATTATTCTTGGATGAGGTGCCCAAGAAGTAAACTTCATGGAACCCACAATTGGAGAAATACTGTGTAGAAAAACCAGAGTGCAGAAAACCACCATTTGTGCCTCTGTTACAAGATGAGCAGGATGTTCTAATGCCCACATCCAATCCCTGCTCAACTGCAGTGCCACATGTCCCCCACCCCGATAGTTGCTGTGGGCCAACTGCATATGCACTGAAACCAACTGATTCATTTGCTACCAATTTTTCGCATGCACAGAGGGGTACTTTTCCAGAATATGCCATATATTAGGTCATGAAGCAAACTTCAAGCAATGACCTAAGGAGAGAATAACACAAAGAATCTTCTATGATACTATAAAACTATTGGTCATAGGGGGAAAAAAGAGAAAATATTAAACATGAAGAAGAAATAGCATCTTATTTAAAAGCTATTCAGTACTAGAAGAAGAACTTAAAAATTACATTTAAATTTTTTTAGAATCAAGTGAAAATGAAAGTACAATATAACAAAATCTTTGAGGTACAGCATAATCAGTACCTAGATGAAAATTCATAGCAATGAATGCATACATTAAAGAAGGAAAAAAGTCTAAAATGGATAACTTGAACAAATGGAAAAGGGACATTGAAAGGAGATAATAATTACCAGATTAAAGACCAGAGTAAATAAAATAAATAAAAAAAACCCAGAAAACAATAGGAGGGAGGTGATAGGGAGAATCCACAAGAGTAAAAATTCATTCTTTGAGAGGAATAAAATTGACAAACCATTGGTCAAAATGACAATAAGAGAAACATGAGAAGAAAAAGAAGAACTAAAGTAAGGAATAGAACCCATTAAGATAAAGAGGATCTTATAACATGAATGTAGACTTGAATGTAGACTTGCAGAGGACATTATTGAAGAGTAAAGTAAGTTAAATCATAAGAAGACAATGATTGTATGGCATCGCTATTATAAAAAGATTAGACAAGTAGACAGAAAGCTAGAAAGTTGAATCCTCTAAAGAGAGCAGGCACTAGTTATTTTTGGTCATGAGAAAGGCAATACCAAATTTGAATTAAACCTGCACACTGTGCAAGTTAAAATGAAGACATTAAGAAGTGTACAAGAAAATGGGACATTTTCAGTGAATGTTACAATATATACAATGTGGTGCAAAAGATTCAAGTGGACTATACAAATAGCTTCATTTGATGGACTCAGTTGTTGTTATTGTTGTTTCACCGTCATGTTGGAACTAACTTACCCTTCAGCCAGTTTTCAGAAACAGTTAATCAAATGAGAGAAGACTGCCCATCCAAGGCCAGGTGCTGACTGTGGAACAGGCCATTGTATAACCTTAAATTTATCCCAATTGCGTTTAAAAACCATTTCAGATATAGATCTGATGCATTATTGAACACTAATGACCAAAGACCAAACACGATAAAAGGTCTTTATTAACACAGGAAAGAAAAAACAAACAAACCAAGTTAGATTGCAAAAGAGACTCTGAAACTTACATATCAATGTCAAGAAGCCAAAACAAAGAGAAGAAATAATGATGTAAAGTAAAAGAATTGAACAGGAATGTCAAAGGGTAGCTTGAGAAGAAAAAGTCAAGTGTAATAAAATGTGCAAAGACTGTTTTTGTTGTTATGTGCCATCAAGTAACTTGTGACTCATAGCATTTCTAGGTACAACAGCCCTGAGGCCTGCTCTATCCTGTGCCAACTTTACTGTGTCTGACACGCCTACCCTCATTACCCCAGTCACTGTATCAACCCATCTCATCAGTGATCTCCCTCTCTTTCTCTGTCCCTCTACCCTTCCAAGAATGATGTCCCTCTCTAAGGACCAATTTCTCCTTGCATCCTGCCCTAAGTATGTCAGACGAAGCCTCAGAATCCTTGACTCCAAGGAGCAGTCTGGTTTCACCCTCTCAAGGACAAAACTGTTTGTTCTTCTGGCAGTCCAAGGTATATTCAAAACTCTTCTTCAGCACCACAGCTCAAAGGCATCAATTCTCTTTATTTCATCCCTAGTTATTGTCCAGTTCTCTGACGCATAGTGAGCAATTGTGAGGATTATGGCCTGGATCAGGTGCACCTTAGTCTCCAGACCGATGTTGTTGCTCTTCAATACTCTGGAGAGGTCCCTGACAGCCGACTTTCCCAGTGCAAGTGACTCTTGATTTCCTGGCTGCTGGTACCAAGAGTATTATTGATTGCAGAGCCAAACCAACCAAAGCTATTAACAATCTTAATCTCTTCACCATCCATCATGATGCTGCCAATTGGCTCGGTGGTGACTAGGAATTAGAAAATCAAAAGAGAAGAATATGCTTGACATTTCTCAAGCTTAAGAAACAAAAAATGAATCTCTGTAAATGCTTATCAACAACCTATGGCATTCAAATTACATAACGTTGCTTGCAGAAAATAGACTTGAAGAAACAGATATTGCAGAAGGTCAAAGATCAATATGAGTTACATCTCTACATCAAGAAAGCAAAAATCCTTACCAGTAAACCAATAGTCAACATAATGATAGACGGAGAAAAATATCGAAGTTGTTAATAATTTCATTATATTTGGATCCACATTGAACACTCATGGTAACAATAGTCAAAGCTATGTTACATTGGGAAAATCTGCAATCAAAACCTCCTTAAAATACTAAAAATAAATAATGTCTTGAATACTGTATCTAACGCAAGTGACAATATTTTCATTTGTTTTTTAAGCATCTTAAAGTTGAACAACGTATAAGGAATACTAAATAAGAATCCATGCTTTTACTGTCATGTTGAAGAAGAATATGGAATATAACACGAATTGCCAAAAGAATAAACCAATCTATATCAGAAGCTTGAACAGAGTACCTCTTAGAACCATGAATGGTGAAAATTCATCCAACAAATCTTGGGAATGTTGTCAGGATAGGCCAGTTCTTGGAAGGAGTTATCATGCTAGAGAAAGTAAAGGGTCAGCAAAAGATAGGGAACTGTGCCTAAAAGGAGAAAGGGAGGAGGGCAGGGGGTATAGGGTGGGGAGAGGAGGAAATCACTAGGATTTGGTGAGCTAAGGAGGAGGATGAAGGAATTAGGAAAGATCCAATGGGGACCTAAAAAGATGGGGTAATAGTAGGCATAGATCAATGGTAATTGTTTTGGGGATTTTTAAAATACTAGTTTATTTACAAAATTCAAATACATTGTTTTCCACACCAGAACATTCCCATTTCCCTCACTCCCCACCCATCAAATTGTACTACCCCATGATTCACCCCACCCTCCCTCCGCATATTCTCAGCCATCTTCTTCTATCCCCCCTCTCTCTTGGATCCTCATACTCATTCTACAGGAATGGGTTTATGCAATATTTGTCCTTGTGGGAGTGAGTTAGTTCATTCAGCATAATGCTCTTCAGTCCCTCTCAAGTTAGGTAGTAATTTTATACTGATTTACATACAAAGTTCATAAAGTTCATACACATTATTTTTCACACCAGACCTTTCCTTTTTCCTTTACCAATCTTTCCCTCCACCCATCAAATTGACCCTATGTTTAAGCTCTCCCTTCCCCTTGTTGTTTCCTCACACACGCTCTCCAATAAGGGTCCTAATATAGTATTTGTCTTTATGAGACTGAGTTACTTCACTTAGCATAATGTTCTCCAGTCCTTCTCAAGATAGGTAGTAATTTACAAAATCATTGCTCC